CGCATCCACGACGAAGAGGTTATCGGTGCCATAGACCTTGGTGTTGGTATCGACGACAGAGGTACCACCGGAACGACCATCATCCGTGCCCATCTTAACGGTACCAATCCAGTGGTTGGAGTTACGGGAGCCAGCGGTGGCGGGGATCTAGCAATGTCAGCAACTATCGGACAAAGTAATCAGGTTTGACTCACCGAGTTGACGAAGGCCTCGGAGGTTTGCCCACTGGTTGGGCGCACCCACGACAGACCGCTGACCTTGCTGAGAGCATCGCGGAGGGACTGGACACCAGCTACCACAGCGGCCTTGTCGGCGGCATTATTGAGGTAAGGAGACTGCGACACAATTGTCCTCAGCTGGTTATTGATCGTGAGGCGACCACGGGAAACAGAGCCAGTGCCGAGATATTGGGTCAGGGTCATGGACGCTAAGGAGAGGATCAGTCAGCGGCCCAAACGTTCAGCGCAACGGAATGCCTTACTGCTTCGCGAACCCTCAACTCTTGCCTGCCAGTGGAGATGGCGGTTGACGCCGTCCGCGCCCTTGATGACCTCCCAGAACATGGGGCCGAAGTTGGGCGCGGATTGGGCCAAGATTCCAGTCCTCCCGTTCAAATACGAGTTCATGTCTCCTTGATTGGGTCGGTTGTAGGCCGCGTAGAAGTCATAGTTGACAACGTTGCCGTGGGCAATCTCAAGATCGGTCTGGAAAGCCGTCAGATCAAACTCGTAGCCTCAAGCCCAGCTTTTCCGAGAGAAGACTTACGCCGACGTGGTCGTAGAGGTTGTACCCGACAGGGAGGTTAATCCATTGATCCTGAGCAATCATGGACGATCCATCACCCGACGACTTGACGTTGTTCAGCTGGTCCGAGGAGCCAATGCCGCCTAAACACAAAGTCAGCACTCCTCATTCATCCCTCCTCACCACCAACCCCAGGAAAGGCAGAAAACTCACTCCTCCACAGAATCTTCGCCGACCCGAAGGTTCCGGCGGACAGAATCACCCGCCCGGTATCCTTGGTCAGCGAGACCACTCCCGAGCTACCACCGCACTCCACCTCCACGCCCGTAACGTGCCCTCCCGTCCTCACAACCCTCTTAACGCCGGCGTTCGTCCAGAATGCAAAGTTCTTCCTCGCGTTCGCCGTCACCAGGTACGTCGCCATCGGCCCGCCTCTCTCACCGCCAATGTAATAATACGTCGTCTTGGAGTACGTGCGGTTCCGCTGGTCATTCTGCTTGTTGGCGTCAATCTCGGTCCACCCAGCCGCCTTGAGACCGCCGCCAATGGTATTGAACCCCTGCGGCAGGTAGATCTTGCCATCCATGGAGGGCGTGGTCGTGCCGGGCAGGCGCGTGAAGACCTTGTCGACGGCGGCCTTCATGTCGGCGTCCTTCCATCCGGGGGGGAAGGACATGTTCCAGTCGTCGGGGTGGGGCTTCCAGTAGAGCGCCGAGTTGATGGCCACGCCGCCGCCGAGGATGCAGCCCGCGAGTTGGTCGTAGTCGGTGCAGGCGATGCCGTTGCGGTCGGCCCAGATCTGGTTGCACAGGCCGGGGACGTCGAAGCGCGTGAGGTTGGTGTTTTGCAGCCATGTGGGCCTCATGGTGCCGCCCCAGCGGCCGGAAGAGGGTGGTCCCTTCTCGAGGAGGAGGACCTTGTGGCCGGCCTCGGACAGGCGATCAGCCATAGCGAGGCCGCCCGGCCCGGAGCCCACGACGATGTAGTCCCAAGTGTCCTTGGAGGACAGGCTGCAGGATGCCGCGGTGGCTCGGGGCTCGTTGGCGGAAGGCGCAGCTGCGCATGGGTGGAGCACTGGTGTGGAGTGTCAGTGTGGGGGACTTTGGTCTGAAGTGAAACTTGGACGCTGGGGGAAGGTGCTCACGAGCTGCTACCAAGGCTGTGACGGCCCAATGCTGGAGCAATTGCATGATGACTTCCAGTTCGTTGCGATTTCACGGCAGGGCTGAAAAGACGGTCACGTTGTAGTGGCGAGCCAGAGTCAACACCAGTTCAGACGGTTCTCATCGCCAGGGCAAGGCATCACGATGACTACATGTACTCTCTCGTCTGCTTGCCCATTCGCCCATTCATCCGGCTTCCCCTCATTCCCCAGATTCCCAAGGAGCACCTAACCAGGGATGTCTTGATAGCCGGAAATGAATCGCCGCATGATTCGGTGTTCGACGGTGCCATCCATGAGCCTACAAGGACGATTTGGGGTATTGTACCAGAGTGTGGTTCCCATCATCTAGGTATTCATATCGGCGCCTCCGGACAAGGGACGCGCCTATAGGCACCCCCGCCTTTAGGAGTCGGGTCCTTGGCACAACGGAAGCTGGGGTTGGGTAGCCCTGGGCTCTGCTTAAACTGGGTGAATTCTCCGTATATTCACCCGGAACCCACCAGACGGAACCCCACCACCCGAGTACCGATCCCCGACCACTCTGGCGAGGTTGGAGCATGTGGGGATTTCATCTTGGCCGCAGAGAATTGTTCTCTGTCGGGCATGCAAACAAGAATGCATTGCGTGGTGCCCATGTTTGGCCACGACCTGGGGTGGTGACTTGGGACACCCCTGCTCAGCTGCTCTGCCATGTGTCCGGGACGTGAAATATCTCCGAAAACTGGGGGCTGACATGGAAGCAAACGGACCGTACCTAGCTGGATGGAAAGGCGAGTGCCGCGCCAGTCATTCCAATGCCGATAATGAGCATAATGAAGGGCACTGTTCTGCCAGATCGCATTCAGAGGGCGACACTCGGATTTACGGCACTGACACTGCTTGCTGCATCCCACCACCAAAGCAGCACTTGGCATCCGTGATCACTTTCCGGCGCCCTCCTATTTACCCACGTTCCTGAGAGGTGTGGCTGCTTGAGGTTGCCCCTTCGGTTTCCCCTCACGCCACCCAATCTTAGCCATTCGTGCGACCAAACAGCGTCAAATGCCAACCCTTGGGTTCGTAACCATATCCCGGACGACAAGAAGGTGGGTATATCAGTATCGATAGACTAATATGATGGCCTTTCTCACACGCCAGACGAATGATGGTCCAGAAACCAGATAATCTCGCTTGACCAACCCTGAGAGTTGACGAACACGCCATTCGTCTTGATATTCGTGATCTTAGGTTCCCCATGAGGCTCTCCGCTCCCAACGCTAGAATCCCGACTTGAGACTCTCGAGATCAGTTCATAACTCCAAGATGTCGACTTCCAAGGTGTCGACTCCCAAAGCCCGCCCATACTTCCCGCTCAACTTCTCTCCGACCCTTCAGTCCTCTCGTAATACCAAATCGCTCCATCAGCCTTTGAACAACTACTCACACTTCCCCCATTCATGTCCGCCCCAACAGCCTCCCCCTTCCCGCCCTGGACCCTCCCGTACACATGAAAGTAATACCACACCTCATTCAACACCGTCTTCCCTGCGTCCTTGGTCCCCTCTCCAGCCTCCGTCTCGTTCCACCTCGGTCCCCCACAGCCAATGAACGGAACCCCCCCGTGCTTCTCCTTCAGTACCGCTTGAATCTGCGAAAGCGAGTACCCCGTGCTATTGCTCGGTCGGATCCCGCCCTCCGCAAGCCAATCCCATGTGGGAAGAGTCTTGAAATAGTCTGCCGAAACCGTGAAGAAGTCTAGCAGGTCCGTGTGGCGAGTGAGATTCTCCGGCGAGAAACATTCCTGGTCGAAGGTGCTGAAGCAGGTGGCGTGCTTCGAGAACTCGTGCGCCCAGAGCTCGGTGCTTGGTTGGTTTTGCGCAATCCAGAATTCCTTCATCCACTTCAAGAGGGTCTTCCCGGGTTTGCCGAGAGCGGCGAGGAAGGTGTCGACTGTATCGCCGGTGTAAGGCGGGACGGGCTCGCCTGAGGGGGTTCCGGTGGTGGTGTTGGGGGACGGATGCGGGTCATATTGGCGAGAGAGATCGCAGTATTGGGTGTAAGAGCCGTTGCAGAAATCTGGCCAGAGGCCGTGAAGGCTCCAGGAGTTGGCGGGGAGGAGCTGTCCGGAGAATTCGAGGCCGGTGTAGGTGTCCCAGAATTGTGTGGAGAGGACGAGCCCGCCAAAGGTTTCGACACAGCATGAGTTGACGAGATCGGGCTGGGCGGCGGAGGAGCAGGACAGAATGGATTCGTTGGCGCTGCAGCTGGGCGTTGTCTGACGGCAGCTGCTACCAAGTACGATGGCGGGCGAGGTGACCGTCAATGCGAGGAGAGCGAGTCGCGTCATTTTGGGAGATCTGGCCGTGAGACTCGAGTTCAAATGTACTACGCAGAAGTGCATGTTTTGTAGTACTCAACGTCATGGGCTTCATTCAAGTTATCGACAGCTTGCCACCGAGACTCGTCTTATTCCCGAAGACCGGTGCCCGATGAGGAAGTTGCGAAGCTGCCCTGGGGCAACGAGACATCCGATGACAGCCAATCAGAAGGACAGCAACGGCACGAGGTCGCTTCCTTTTGCGCTCCTGGTTCCACAATGTTATCACAGATACCACGCATCTGCTCCGGAATCGCCACATCATTGGTCGATTAGCATCGCTGAGCATCCTGGCCTCAAGGCCGTCGAAAATTCCCAGGCTCTGAATGCAGCTCGGAAGTGCATCAATCGGCAGCATCAGCAAACAACATGCCATCGATCGTGTTCCCGGTCAGAGTTCAACCTCACCCCCAGCGAGAGCGAGGAAGCAAGCCAATGCGGGCAGAGCGTTGGGTCCTACGCCGAATAGCTTCTCTCAAGGATCTTTGATCTAGTAGACGTCTGCTCCCCAGAAAACGCCTCAAAGTTCATGGGGGTGGTGGTTGGCTGGTAATGTGGAGCAAGTTAGCGCAGGAGGAGCGCGAGGGCGTAGTGGGCTCTGCTGACCAAACAGGCAAACTGTCTCCCTACTTTCAGTCAGCAAAAGTCAGAAAGCAAAGACGCCTGCTTGCCGAGAAACTCAACACGGTTATCCAGCAAAAAGGGGTGTGGGGAAGAAGCAAAAAGATGAAAACGCGATCCACCCAGGGGTCGAACCTGGAACCTCCTGATAACTTCTCGTCGTTGAGATCGTAGTCAGACGCTCTGCCATTGAGCCAGCGGACCTTGTGATGTTTGGCATGGCTGATATCACGCTTCTTGGTTTGGGGCGGGTGGTTTCCGGGAGCGAAGGAGGTAGACGCTAGCACAGCCTCTCATGGCATGGAGTTGTTCGTCGAGAGCCCAACCGAGGCGACGGTTGCCGCAAGGTGCGATGGATTGGAAACCACGTATAGGTACTGCACCTCCTTCCTCCGGACAAATACGGTACCGGAGAAGTGTCAGCGTCAGTCGCGAATCGGCGCATTGGAGGGCAACATGAATCACAGAAACTTCAGCGTTCACGCCGTGGATATGCAGCATTCCATTTGTTCCTGTCTTTTATTCTGAATCGCGACATATGCGACTTGTACTGCGCGTCCCTTAGATCTTGTCCTCGCTCACCAGCCGCCGGATTGTCTCAATGCTGGACTCAACTGCCATCTTCGCGGTCTGGTCATGGTCAGCGTCCCGCTTCAGACCGACTCGAACGCAAACTCACCGTCTTGTGTTGTGCCTCCATCTTGCCGGCCTGCTCACTTCCAGCCTCCACACCCGGATGCCGCCACTCGAATACGTAGGTCATGAACAGGTCGCTAGGCTCGCCGCTCGGCCCCTGCGACACATAGTTGGCGATCTTTGTGCCGTTCTCCTGGTGGAAGTCGACGCGACACGGCGGGTACTCCTTGCAGATCTCCTGTACAGGCTCGCCGTCTGCCTTGGGCCCGTTGCCGGCGCGGAAGATGACGTTGCGCGTCACTACCGTAACATCCTCGTCGCCCTTGGCCGCTTTTTCCTCGACTACTTTGCAGCTGACGATGAGGGGCACGAACTCTTGCGCGTGGCGCACCTTTCGCTGGAGCCCCGCCCAGACCTGGTTGAGCGTAAGCACCGTTTGCCCAGGGCGGTTGATGGGGGCGGTGTAGGCGAGGTTGAAGACGACCATGTTGTCCGGAATGGGTGCTACGGGAGCTGATGCGCAGGCCAGGCTTGTCTTTCGATGGAATCAAGTTCGGGGCACCTGTTTGTTCGTCCTCCCTGAAATGTTTGATGTGGGATGCACTGCGTTTTGGTCCCGACGCGGAGATTCCCCATCGGTGTCCCTGTCAAAGCTCGCGCAGTGTCACGACGCTGACACTGACCGACTGGTCAAATTGTGTGTGGGGCAGCGCTTGCCGAGAATAGCGCGGGGTAGCGCATCGACCAAACATGAGGCTGCAAGAAAAAAGTCTGCTGCATCTCTCCACATTGCGGTGCCATTTTTTCTTTGTCGCCACCTTTTTCTCTCATTGGTGAGTAAATCCCGACCTGAGTCCCAACCGAATTTCGCCGGTCGTCTGGTGGTGGTCGTCCACAATGGTGTCTCTGCTGGAGAAGTGACTGGTCTGTGCGCACTACGGCAGGTCCCTGGACGCCACCCGTCTTGGCGCCAGTGACGTCGATCCACCCCAACCCTGAAGTCAACAGTGATGTGGAAGCGATGGTTCCTGCGTAGAAGTTGGAAGGGGTGTACATTAATACAATTATTTGTAAGGATGAATATCTCCTTTGCTTCTTCAGATTTGTCACAGCTCCTTCAATTTTCTCACGTGTGGGAGAAGGTAGGACCAAGACAAACACTGGTGGAACGGGTTGCAGCAGCTCCTTCCTCCGCGCAGTTCACTGCAAACAAGCACTTCAACCGGAGCAGTGCTGCAATAAAATTCGAGAGATGTCGTCTGCGACAGGTAATTCATTCTCAAGCGAATGGGAAGGCGCAGCTTCCCTCGCCTGAAGTGCTGATTTCATCCCGTCTGCTGTCTCCCTCGTGACATGTTCCACCAGCGATCCAACAGGAAGCCTAGGAAGAACGTTTCTCGGCTCTCAACTCTCCTCTAATCCCCTTACCTCGAAAGCCGCGCCATTTGATCAAACCAACGGCATCTCCTAGAGCGCTTCTCCACCTGCGGTCTCGCCGTCCACCTCGACATCAGTGACTCTCCACTTTGCTGACGCTCTCCCTCTTCAACACAGTCACAATGGCTGGCTCACGAGCGTCATCTCGCATCCTTGCCCTTCACGCTGGGACTGCTATCCTGTGGGTTCTGCTATTGGTCTTTTGCCGCCGCAATCTCTTCGACGTCCCTTCCAGCTATTTCTTCAACCCCCGATCAGGGCCCGGGTTGCGCGTCTCGGATGCCCGCAAGGCCGAGATCAACCGCCACTTAGAAGAAATATCCTTCCCCGACGAGCATAGCGACGGAGAGGGCAAGGAAATCCAGCGATTCGGGCCGAGGCGCTGGCCGAAGCGATTGTGCCTCGGAATTGTCAGCGACCCTAAGAAAGCCAACCACGACGAGATCTCGCTCGCCCGTACCCTCGCCTCGCTCAAGAGAGAGCTCACTTCGAACGATCGCGAGTCCATGCACGTCGCCATCCTACTCGCGACCAAGTCGCCGACTGACCACTTCGCCTTCGGAACAACCTGGTTGCCCAAGCTGGTGGACGAAATCCTGGTCTACGGAGAGGTCAACCAAGAAAATACAACGATCCCTGGTATCCCTGGTCGGCAAAAGTACAACCAAGTTGACCCTGGTATGGCGCATGGGGTACCGGCCTGGGGCGCGCCATCGATCAGCAACGCGAGGCTCGAGCAGTTGGTGATATTGGACATGTGCTACAGAACACAGGCCTCGTATGTGGCACTGGTAGATCACGACTTTGTTGCGACACACGACTGGCACCCGAGACTACTTTTGGCGTTATATCGAGCCAACAAAGTCGTGAGGGAGAGTGGAAACGACTGGGCGTACATCAAATTGTTCTACCGCTCAACCCCCCAATGGTCGCATATAAACGACAACTGGATACCCAAGAGCCAGAGTTGGGCTCTTGGCTACATTTTCGCGGTATTGGCAAGTGTCGGGCTTTTTAGATGGGGCTTTTATCGGAGGAGGATGACGGCAAAGATGTTGTGGCAGGAGTCAATTCCGTTGCTGAGCTTGGTGGTTTGGGTCCCTCTTTTTGTGAGGTTGCTTGTCCTGGCCGGGGGGATTCAGACATTTCAGCACCATTTCTGGCCGTACGTGGGTGGCGTGCGCGAGATGGTAAGGGAGAGCTGCTGTGGGCATGGGGCGGTGTTCCAGCAGAGACACGTTGAGGAGCTTATGGACATGTTCAGGAGCTTGCCCTACGATATAAAGCCCAAGGAGATACTAGACCATCTGGCTGCTAATAGAGGGTTGTGGAGATGGGTGATGGATCCAACCATTACGTTATAGCAAGTCAATTCCCACATCCGTTCCCACGGTTAGGGGCGAGGTTTGGGGCGAACGTATTTCCCAAGTTTCCATCATTTGTCCTTCGGGTGTGTAGTCCTGTGTGAGGTGTCTCTTCATTTGTGCGTCACTTCCGGCTCAACCTTGGTCCTCTGCCGTTGGAGTTTCGGCCAGTGGAACAGGTAAGTAGATACAGTGAGAATATCCCCTAGCGTCGCTGGTCTGGTCCTCCGTCGAAACGACTATTGGGTCTCTCCCCATTGAAATGAGACGTCGAAGCAGCTGGCTCTACAGAACAACTAGGTCAGAAATCCAAACAGGAGGCCCGAATGGCTGGGTCACGATCGCTGCGCCCAAGCCGAGGTCGAAGAAGTCTCATTTCGACCTCGGAAAACCTCCACGTACCCTCAGGGTTGGTTCTAATGACAGCAGAAAACATCACGATAATCACGTTGCAGAAGAACACCTTGAAGAACATAAAAATGCTCGAGAATCTATCACTGAAGTCTATAACGGCGTGTACTCGTGACTGAAGTGAACATGAACCGAGGAATTTACATAAGGTGGGCGCGACCTCGGCGGTGCACTCGCGCCCCCTGCCTGCATTGTGGTCATCAAGCAGGAACATGGCATTTGTCGGTGCTGTCGGTGTCGCTCTCGAACCTGTTCTTCCCGTCGATTTCGCTCGTGATATCGTACTCGCGGTGGACTCGGATGTTGCGGTCTTCCGTGATGGGTTCGGCGCTTCCCTTCTGGACGCTGTGCAGCTGATATGTGTGTGACGTGTTTCGAGGATCCGTTCGCAGCTGCTTCGAGGCACCCCAAGAGTTGAAAGGGGAACCGTTTGCAGCCGACTTGCCCTGTGAAGAGAACAGGCCAAGATTGGGGAACCACCGCCTAAGAAGGGGCTTGAGTCGCATGGCTGATCCGCAAACGATGCCAAGGTTGACTTCGACAATAGACCACACACCGAGAATGGCTTCGGTATATGTCACGTCGGGGTCGTTGGCCATCTGCTTGACATATGGCAAGCGGGCAATGGAGCATATAATGACCCTGAATGCTCAGTCAGTTACAGGACGCAAGTGGCAGAAGGAGGAAGATGACGGGACACATACCCAGACCCCAGGGCCAAAATGCAGCCGACTCTCGCCGCACAAAGTGCCTCCACAACATTGGGGGAAGAGCTCCACAGCGAATCCTCTTCGCCGTGTTTACCGAGAAGACCAAAAGAAAGTCGCCCACTGCGCGGCGTGGGGTTGGCCTGAGCTTCGTCGAGCCAGCGGTGGAACCGTTGACGGCGTCCCTGCCAAGCAGTCGCCGTTGGGTGGGCCACTGAACCTGTCCAAGACTCCAAGAAACAAGGCGAGAGGCGGGACGACGGCCCTGTTATTCAACGGTATCAATGTGGAGCGAGCCGGGCAGTGAAAGCCAGAACAGCGGTTTGTTCGGTTTGTTGAGCCGAGAAAACTGGGCACCGGCGAGCAACCGTCTTGGTGAGCGAGGATTCAGGAAACGAGGGAAGGAACGCACGCAACCACGAGGATTCCAACACACACTAGGTACCTGGGGTCGGAGGGCTCGAGGAGGGCCATTCAATTTCTAAGCAACACACAAACTCCATCCCAATGCTGCGCTCCCATCACCAAAACCAATGCACCCACAATGACTCGCGGTGGCGACGACGTGGTTGGTTGATCGCTCATCACCATTTCTTTTCTGAATGGGGTTGGCTGCAATGGTCATCCGCTTTTCCGCCCCCCGCTGAAG